GGGAAATTGCACGCATGAATCGTTTGCCCAGGCCCTAATTCGAAAAAAAAGAAATCGAGTATGGGACGCCAATTAAATTAGGTATGGCGCGCACTAAGTGCAATAAAGAGTGAGTAACCTAAAATTAGGGCCTGGAACCCAGGCTAAGCTACGACCTACATGCTTCTCCAGCTTAAGCACGGCTCCACTATGTGTGAGTGTTTCAGTTTAAAGTTGTATGCGAGAAAATGTCTGGGAGTGAGATCTGCATGTTTGCGCCTTACCGGTATTTTCTTTATTTGCGCGCCCTCTATGTTTGGTTGAATAAACTCAGTTTTATTACAATGGAAAATATTGTTTGATCGTGCTTTTTAAGTTTCGGCTCTGAATAATTATTAAACGAGCATGTGGCTGTTTGTTTTTCAGTGTATTACATAGTATTAGGCCCCTTTTTTAATAGTGCTTTAATATTTCAAAGCATAATCTTTTTATAACTGGAAGGTTCTGCTTATTTACAAGTTCAATGAAGTTCAACTTTAATTAGTTTGAAACGTGGAATATTAAAAGAATTAAGTGCAGCATAGTTTCTTTTTTCTTTTCTCATGCCTAAGCCTATGTACAGTACATGAATAATCCATGTCAAAAACATTCAGTTATTCATAAAGGCATTTGCTCTATACTTGGTCACCATATCAAATATTTTTAATAGCAGAAAATTCATGGGGAAAAAACAATTTAATTGAAATTGGGTGGCCAAAGTTAATAAGCTAGAATATAGGGTCACCATAATAGCAACTTAGGAAATAAAATAGAAGCAGTGGTGATAAAGAATGGCTTATCAAAGTAACTTTGAACGATATTTACGGGACAAATCAAACTTCAAAGGTATTAACTTAAAATTGAAAGCAAATCCAACTCGTTAGATCTTGAAGATCACAACACATACCGTATGTAAACTATATACTGATAGCGCGAAATTTGAGATTTTTAGGCACTTTCAGGGGTGAAAAGGACATCTTTAAGGGGTGGGAAAAGATTTGCCACAGATGGATATTTTCCCCTTGTCCCCCAGTGGTTACGCCACTGTAGAATATCTGGCGGTTTAGATCAAAGGAGCTATGGACACTTTTTGAAGTGGAGAAGGGGTTGCAGGGTGTTGTGAGTCTGATCATTATGATATCTTCCTTTTTATTCTTGTCTTTATTTTTCTCTTCTCTTTTTCTTTTCCTTTTTCCTGTCCTTTTCTTTTTTCTTTCTCTTACCCTCCCTCTCCCCTCTTTCTTTTCTGTTATTACCCAGCCCGTACGGCGGCTTGGTCAGCCCGGTAAAAACCGTCAAGAAGGGCAGTCTCTGTCCCCCCCCCCCCGTTACGCCACTGGATCTGTCTCTGGGCCCCCATCTGAAACCCCTTTCAGGGAATGGTAGTCGTTAAAGCTCTTCAATTACAAAAACAAACAAACAAAACACAGTATAATAGGCCTACAGTGCATTCTCCAATTTGAGTCTCTGATCCATTTCTGATACCTTTCAACAGTGCCGTAAATCCCGTGAGCTGTCGGGAGGAGGACGGATGAAACCTGGCCCCAAAACAAAGTGGAGGAGGAGGCTAGCTCCTTTTAAGTACCAAACACTATAGAGCCTTGGTCAGTCTTCGGCCATAAAATTGGGTAAAGGAGATTACCTACCCCTCAAAGTCTTGAGAGCAAAAAAAGTTGACACGCAAGGCCCGCCCCCTCCCACCTTTTGACATTTTATCGTTCCCGGGCCCCATGAATAGTTGTTAGGCTGTTTTATCTTCATTTCCTTACAACCATTTTCAAAGTCTAAAGGTTGGACATAAGCCTAGCTTTTTTTCTTTTAACAAATGAAATTAGAAATTATTAAAAAAAATTTTCATTTAATTTTTTAGCCCTGTTAATAAACGTGCCCCTAATTGCCCCCGAATGCCTCTAATTGCCTCTAATTGAGATGAACCAATCACACGCCTCAAATATGTTGATGACGTGACCCTTATCCAGAACTACAGTCAAAAATCCCCTTCTAACATACAGACAATAATCTGAATCTCAACCCAGAAAAATATGTTACTCTCCACATTGACTTTGCAAAATCTCCTGGAAACCTTCCTGATTTACAAATTGATTCCAAGAAACATTAAGACGGTAAATAGTGTAAAGATACTTGGAGCAACTATAAGCAACACTCTCAAGTGGGATGGACACATAAATGATATTGTTAACTGAGCAAATACGAATCTGTAGGACAATTATAAAGGATATATTAGATCTCTTACTGAATATGCCGTTCCAGCGTGGAATGCTGGCTTAACTTGCAAACATGTAGCTCTGTTAGAGAGCGTACAGAAGAGAGCACTCAGAATCATACTTGGCAACTCCCACAATAACTATAATAGTGCTCTAATATTGTGTAAAATAGTGTGTAGTGTGTAGAAGAAAAAATTTATGCTTAGAATTTCCTCACCAATTATGCAAATCACCAAATTTTAGTTCCTGAATACCTGCTCAAATAGACCATCGATATAGTTTGAGAAAGACAAATCAATTCAGACAACCTACACGTACTTACAAAAGTCATAGATACAAGCAAAGGCCAATTCGACAACTCATTTGTATCTTAAACCAGCAAAATACTTAAGACTTGCATTACATATTTGAACATCAATATTAACTTTAAGCTCAGATTAATCAGTTCATCCTATATCATAATTTCATTTTTACATCAATATTATTTTTTATTTTACTGTTGTTTAATTTAAACTTTACCCTAAAATTTGGAATTTATTATGTATTGTTGATTTGTAATTTTTGTGCAATGTATAGACCCAGGTCTATTTTTTTTGTAGTGTATCATTCGTTATTTATCTGCAAAGCTACAATGATGATATTTTGAAATAAAACTTGAACTTGAAATATTTTAGCTGGAAAAAAGCTTTTCGGCGAAACGTACTTTATTCGGCCAATCGTCCTTTCGATCAAACGTCCTTTCGGCCGAAAGTCAGTTCTGCCAAATGTCTTTTTGGCCAAAAGTTTTCAGCCAAAGTGCTTTCCGCCAATACTGTACCGACTTTTGGCGAAATGGGGTTCGGTGAAATTTCCGCTCAGCGAAATGTCCATTCGGCCAAACATCCTTTAGATAACATGTCTATTCGGCCAAACGTCCTATCGGCGAAAAGTCCTTTTGGCCAATTGTCATCCGATTACGATCCCGGTACACACCTAAACCATTTTTATGATGACTGTCCCTAATCTTTATCTCTAATAAAATTTGATGTAGCACAGTCAAATAATATAATGTTCTACTGATTCATTTTGGTTATCAGTATAGTTTACATATGCATATGTTGTGATTAGAACATGATTGCAGGGGACTGTAC